GGCCCCATAGAAAACGTACTGACTCTGATCAGGCTGGAACTAATTTCCGTTTCCGTTTCATTACTTTGCATTGCATGTTTAGAAGATTCAGGAACATTGATATTAAACAGAATCCTGTCACTAAAAAAGCTGTAAAAAGTACACTTTGACGCAATCGCACTACGCTCGAAGAAGTAAGAGTACTTGAAATGTCCGGACCAATAGTAGTGAACATTACAAATATAAAAAAGGTGGAATCTATAAGGGCCCATCCTTCTATTACGGAAACAACTGCGACTCCCAATATGAAGTAAACGAGTAGTAAAATGAAAGAGAAAACTGTTGGCACGGCAAGGTCACGTGGCCATCTGATAGGACCACGACATGTTGAGGAGTAGTTTCGGTTTTTTATGCTTACAAAACGATCTACTGAGTTTATAGTGTTCGGACGCATTTGATGCGTAACGTGCAATGTATTATTTGAATTTGAACTTTCCCCTCTACAGTTGATTCCTTGAGTAGGCTTCGTTTTGTCGATGACGTTGTTAAGATTCGACACAGTTGGCTTTCGGTTAACAACGCCACCTGTTGGTGAAGACGCACTCACATTAGAAGGATAGTTACTTTCTGGATCATTTTCTTCTATTATGTACCGTGTCCTCGTGATCCTCGAGTCTTCAGCTTGGACCTGCCTATTCCCACGTGCTTCACATGCGCCACAGCACATCCTGATGAAAAGGGCAATCCAGAGAGTGGCCAAGGAGGAGCCAAGTTTAAACACACACGCTATAGCGAGTGGTATTCCAATAGCCGTGTATATCATCAGTGCTGACTGACTCCATTGTGAACCCAAAGAGGGCTCACTGGATCCTGAAACAAAGGTTCAAAGGAAGATTTTTAACCAAAAACTGCAGTAGTGATAAAATTACCCTTCTATTTTGTAATAAACCAAGTAATTAAAATATTTCAACATATGTCAAACTATTAGTGACAATAATATAACAGAAATATACTAAATGCTCTAACTATTCATTTTTGGACTTTATATGACTAAAGAACCTATTGCATTGGTTAATACGCGTACATCACGTGCTACACACCACATATTTGGATATTACCATAGTA